AAGAGAAATATTAAGAGAAATATTAAGAGAAATATTAAGAGAAATATGTTTTTAAGATATGTCTTTTAAGATAAATGTTTATAAGGTAAAATACCTTTATAAAAATGTAAAGGCCCTTATAAAAAAAAAATCTATGGACATTTATAAACTTGAAGGACATTTATAAAATCCCTAAATTTAAAGACACACATGAAAATGTCTTTTAAGAGAAATACTAAGATAAATATTAAGATAAGTATTAAGATAAGTATTAAAATAAGTATTAGGAAAAATATTAGGAAAAATATTAGGAAAAATATTAGGGTAAATATTAGGGTAAATATTAGGGTAAATATTAGGGTAAATATTAGGGTAAATATTAGGGTAAATATTAGGGTAAATATTAGGGTAAATATGTTTTTAAGATAGGTCTTTTAAGATAAATGTTTATAAGGTAAAATACCTTTATAAAAATGCAAAGGCATTTATAAAAATTGACAGACACATCCAAAATTGTTTAATTTAAAGGCATTTATAACGTGTATAAATTCAAACACACATATAAAGATGTCTCTGCAGTGTTTCTGAGCCCCACAGCCCAGCTCCCAGCCAGGGCCTTCCCCTCCCTGGAGCTCCTTCCCAGCACCTGATCATGAACAGCGGGTCCTCCCGGATTTTGTTGGCCATGTCCAGCACGGAGTTGGCCCCAGACTTGGCAAAGATGGATCCTGGGAGCAGCCCAGTGTCACTGGAACACCCTGCCTCCTTGTCCTCGGCCTTCTCGAAGATGAACTTGTCCACAGGGCGCCCCATGAGATATTCCTCCCTGTTCACCATCCCCCCGGGGCCCTGGTACATCCACTCCAGCTTCTCTTCCCTTTTCCTGGTGGGGAAAAAAAAAAAAAAAAAACCAACAATTTATTTTCCTCCTTGCAGTTCTGAAGGTAGAGTTTAAAGCTTAAAGCGTAAGGTTTAAGGTGAGTAGAAACACTTTATTATTATTATTGTTATGATTGTTATTTCCCCAGCACAGAAAGGACATGGAGCTGCTGGAGTGAGTCCAGAGGAGGCACCAAGATGATCAGAGGGATGGAGCAGCTCCTGTGAGGAAAGGTTGGGGGAAATGGGATTGTTCAGCCTGGAGAGGAGAAGGTTTAGGGATGATTTAACTGTGGCCTTTCAGCGCCTGGAGGAGCTTCAGGAAAGATGGAGAGGGATTATTTACAAGGGCCTGGAGTGGCAGGACAAGGGGGAAGGGATTCAAAGCGAAGCAAAGTTAGGTTTGGATGGGATATTGGGAAGGAATTCCTCCCTGAGAGGGTGGGGAGGTGGTGGAGTGGACTCCCCAGAGCAGCTGTGGCCGCCCCATCCCTGGGAGCGCCCAAGGCCAGGCTGGACGGGGCTTGGAGCAACCTGGGCTAGGGGAAGGTGTCCCTGCCCGTGGGGTGGGACTGGATGTGCCCCCAGGTCCCTCCCAGCCCCTCCCACTCATGCCCTGATCCCCTGCTCCCCAGCCCCCTGACCGCAGCGTGCCCATGTCCTCGGCGTAGCGCTGCATCTCCTCGCGCGCCCGCTCCTCCTGCAGCTCCCGCTGCAGCTCCTCGATCTTCCTCCTCTCGGCCTCATGCTTCTGCTCCGCCTTCCACACCTTCTCCACATTGCGCAGGGTCTGGGGGTGCCAGCTCTTCTTCAAGTTCTGGGGGCGCGCGGGGACGGGGTTGGGATTGGCACCGAGGGCTCAGGGGGACGGGCAGGGAGGGTGAGCCCAGGGAGCGCCAGGGCTGCCTTGGAGCCCCTCTCTGTTCCTCCACGACCCCTCTCAACCCCCATCTTGGCCCCCCATCAGACCCTTCTCAGCCCCCCTCTCCCTCAGACCCCTCTCAGCCACCCCCCGGATCGCCCTTACACCCCTCGTCCTCCCCCAGCCCCTCATGCCGCCCCTCATCCCCCCTGAGCCCCCTCACCCTCATCCCCCACTGGCCCCTCTCAACCCCCCGCAACTCCCCTCAGTTCCCCCTTCCAACTCCCCTCAGCCCCTCCCCGATCCCCTCTCAGCCCCCCTCAACCCACCCCGGCCCCTCTAAGAGCCCCCCCCTTCCCTCAGACCCCTCTCAGCCCCCTCCGTTCTCCCTCAATCCCCCCCGCCTGCTCTCACCCCCAACCCGCGACCCCCCTCAGCCCCGCCCGTTCCCCTCGTCCCTCTCAGACTCCCCCCATCCCCCGTAAGCCCCTCCCGTCCCCTCTCAGCCCCCTCTCCCCGGTCCCTCACCAGGTCTCCCCCCCCCATCGCGGCCTCCGGGCGAGCGCGTCCCCCGTCGCTACCGGGACCGGAACTACGTCATCACATCTCGCCAACGTCGCTGCGTCACTTCCGGCAGCCGGCAAGATGGCGACGCTAAGGCAGGGCAGTGCGAGAGGAGGAGGGAGGGGAAGAACGATTTGGGTTGGAAAGACCTTAAAGCCCGTCCAGCCCCACTCCCAGGGACACTTTCCACTAGCCCAGGTTGCTCCAGGCCCCGTCCCACCCGGCCTTGGGCACTTCCAGGGGATTAAGGCAAGATCCGTTTAAGTGAGGCTGGTAGGAGCAATCCCAGAGAAACGCCTGGGGATTAAAGTGAGTAATTCCGGCTGCACAGAAGCCACGGGACAGGTCTGGCAGGGAGCTGTAATTGCATTAATGTGCAGACGGGAAGGTTTGTGCCTCCGGGTTCGGCAGGGCTTGGGATCTCCTGAGTCGGTGATCTCCTGGGTTAGAACCTGGGAATTCCCATCCCAGGGTGGGTTAGAACCGGGGCCGCCCCGTCCCTTCGCAGGTTAGAACCAGTCTGTGTTAGAGCTGAGGATCCCTCTCCCCAGTTGGAGTTAGAACCATTGACCCCCACCAGTGTGGGTTAGAATCGGGGATGCCCATCCCAGCACAGATTAGAACCGGGGACCCCCACTCCCAGCCCAGTGACCCCCCCAGTCTGGGTTAGAGCCGCAGTCCCCTGTCCCCAGTTAGAGTCACAACCAGCCCGGGTTGGAACCAGTAACCTCCCGGGCTGCGTTGAACTGGGGACCCCCCAGCCCCAGTTAGAACCAATGACCCCTCCCGGCCCAGCGCGGGCTCGAACCGGTGTCCCCGCTGTCCCCAACCCCCCGCGCTGCCCCTGCGCCACCTTTTCCCGCCTCGCCCCCTCCCGCCCCCCCGGCCCCGCCCCGGGGGCGGCTCAGGGGCAGCGCCACCGCCCGCGGGACTGGGGGCCGCCGGTTCGAGCCCCGGGGGGGACCCACACACCGACCTGTGTCATCCCAGCCTCGGCTGCCCCCGGGGAACGTCCCAGCACTGCTGGAAATGAGTAATCCACTGGTCAAACCAGGGGTAATTCACTGGTTAAACCGGGGGTGATTTACTGGTTAAATCAGGGGTAATTACTCTGACAGGAAGAACTGGAGCAGCAGCTGTGGAGTTGAACCTTCTGCTGTGGACGTGGAGAACAACAGAGAGGAAATGTCAAAGCCTGCTCTCATCCTTGGCAAAACATCATCAAGTGATGCCCAAGGCCTCAGAGGGGTAAGGGGGTCTCTCTGTGGGCCGTGTGTGAGGAGGTTGTGGGAGAAGAAAAGGGTGAGAAAGGACCAAAAAGGGGGCACCTGGAGTTGAACCAGGGACCTCTTGATCTGCAGTCAAATGCTCT